CAAACATGCGCAAACACACTCGCTGAAATGGACATGCACAAACGTTAATGAAAATTAATACGCGCAAAAGTACATTCGCAACAACGTTCTTAAAAACAAGAAATACAACACTAGGACTTTAATACGCATAACCAAACAATAGCAAAAACTGTAAATACAAAAGATACAGTGGCGTGAAGAAATAACACTCAACGTTTACGTTTACGTGGATTTTTTTATGGATTAATTTATATTTTTGTTTTAATTGGTGGATTTTGTATCTTATAGGTAAAAATTGATAATTAGGTGTCCATGAAGCAAAAATGATCAAAGAGTAAGAAAACAAATGCAATTAGGAAAATAAAATCAAATTAGAAGAGAGGATCCCTCAACATCTTCGGTAGTGTCCACGAAGTCGAGCATAACTTTCTCATCCGGACTCCAAATCAACTGGTTCCGGCGGCATTAGAAAGCTATTTTAGCTGGCTACAATTCCTGTCTAATGTCAAATTTCGAAATTCGGACTCGAACATGGTCAAAATTGGATTCCAAAAGCGATCATGAAAATACGTGCTACAGTACGAGGACACGAATGCACCTCAAGAAACGTGCACAAAAACACTCGCTACAAAATATACGCACATAAGTAAAAGTACAAAAGCATGCACAAAAGTACTCACGCAAAAGTGCATTCGCAAAAACGATCATGAAAACACAAACTACAATCCTAGGACATTAATACAAATCAACAAACATGCGCAAACACACTCGCTCAAATGGACATGCACAAACGTACATGAAAAAAAATACGCGCAAAAGTACATTCGCAACAACGTTCTTAAAAACAAGAAATACAACACTAGGACTTTAATACGCATAACTAAAGAATAGCAAAAACAGTAAATACAAAAGATACAGTGGCGTGTAGAAATAACACTCAACGTTTACTCTTACGTGGATTTTTTTATGGATTAATTTTTATTTTTTATTTTAATTGGTGGATTTAGTATCTTATAGGTACAAATTGATAGTTATGTGTCCATGAAGCAAAAATGATCAAAGAGTAAGAAAACAATGCAATTAGGAGAATAAAATCAAATTAGAAGAGAGGATCCCTCAACATCTTCGGTAGTGTCCACGAGGTCGAGCATAACTTTCTCATCCGGACTCCAAATCAACTGGTTCCGGCGGCATTAGAAAGCTATTTTAGCTGGCTACAATTCCTGTCTAATGTCAAATTTCGAAATTCGGACTCGAACATGGTCAAAATTGGATTCCAAAAGCGATCATGAAAATACGTGCTACAGTACGAGGACACGAATGCACATCAAGAAACGTGCACAAAAACACTCGCTACAAAATATACGCACATAAGTAAAAGTACAAAAGCATGCACAAAAGTACTCACGCAAAAGTGCATTCGCAAAAACGATCATGAAAACACAAACTACAATCCTAGGACATTAATACAAATCAACAAACATGCGCAAACACACTCGCTCAAATGGACATGCACAAACGTACATGAAAAAAAATACGTGCAAAAGTACATTCGCAACAACGTTCTTAAAAACAAGAAATACAACACTAGGACTTTAATACGCATAACTAAACAATAGCAAAAACAGTAAATACAAAAGATACAGTGGCGTGTAGAAATATCACTCAACGTTTACGTTTACGTGGATTTTTTTATGGATTAATTTTTATTTTTATTTTAATTGGTGGATTTAGTATCTTATAGGTACAAATTGATAATTAGGTGTCCATGAAGCAAAAATGATCAAAGAGTAAGAAAACAAATGCAATTAGGAAAATAAAATCAAATTAGAAGAGAGGATCCCTCAACATCTTCGGTAGTGTCCACGAAGTCGAGCATAACTTTCTCATCCGGACCCCAAATCAACTGGTTCCTGCGGCATTAGAAAGCTATTTTAGCTGGCTACAATTCCTGCCTAATGTCAAATTTCCAAATTCGGCCTCGAACATGGTCAAAATTGGATTCCAAAAGCGATCATGAAAATACGTGCTACAGTTCGAGGACACGAATGCACATCAAGAAACGTGCACAAAAACACTCGCTACAAAATATACGCACATAAGTAAAAGTACAAAAGCATGCACAAAAGTACTCACGCAAAAAGGCATTCGCAAAAAGGATCATGAAAACACAAACTACAATCCTAGGACATTAATACAAATCAACAAACATGCGCAAACACACTCGCTCAAATGGACATGCACAAACGTACATGAAAAAAAATACGCGCAAAATTACATTCGCAACAACGTTCTTAAAAACAAGAAATACAACACTAGGACTTTAATACGCATAACCAAACAATAGCAAAAACAGTAAATACAAAAGATACAGTGGCGTGTAGAAATAACACTCAACGTTTACGTTTACGTGGATTTTTTTATGGATTAATTTATATTTTTGTTTTCATTGGTGGATTTAGTATCTTATAGGTAAAAGTTGATAATTAGGTGTCCATGAAGCAAAAATGATCAAAGAGTAAGAAAACAAATGCAATTAGGAAAATAAAATCAAATTAGAAGAGAGGATCCCTCAACATCTTCGGTAGTGTCCACGTAGTCGAGCATAACTTTCTCATCCGGACTCCAAATCAACTGGTTCTGGCGGCATTAGAAAGCTATTTTAGCTGGCTACAATTCCTGTCTAATGTCAAATTTCGAAATTCGGACTCGAACATGGTCAAAATTGGATTCCAAAAGCGATCATGAAAATACGTGCTACAGTACGAGGACACGAATGCACATCAAGAAACGTGCACAAAAACACTCGCTACAAAATATACGCACATAAGTAAAAGTAAAAAAGCATGCACAAAAGTACTCACGCAAAAGTGCATTCGCAAAAACGATCATGAAAACACAAACTACAATCCTAGGACATTAATACAAATCAACAAACATGCGCAAACACACTCGCTCAAATGGACATGCACAAACGTACATGAAAAAAAATACGCGCAAAATTACATTCGCAACAACGTTCTTAAAAACAAGAAATACAAAACTAGGACTTTAATACGCATAACTAAACAATAGCAAAAACAGTAAATACAAAAGATATAGTGGCGTGTAGAAATATCACTCAACCTTTACGTTTACGTGGATTTTTTTATGGATTAATTTTTATTTTTGTTTTAATTGATGGATTTAGTATCTTATAGGTAAAAATTGATAATTAGGTGTCCATGAAGCAAAAATGATCAAAGAGTAAGAAAACAAATGCAATTAGGAAAATAAAATCAAATTAGAAGAGAGGATCCCTCAACATCTTCGGTAGTGTCCACGAAGTCGAGCATAACTTTCTCATCCGGACTCCAAATCAACTGGTTCCGGTGGCATTAGAAAGCTATTTTAGCTGGCTACAATTCCTGTCTAATGTCAAAGTTCCAAATTCGGACTCGAACATGGTCAAAATTGGATTCCAAAAGCGATCATGAAAATACGTTCTACAGTACGAGGACACGAATTGATGGAGGTCTAACCAACAGTTGGCAAGATGATCCTATCCAAGTCCCAACCGGACCAGTGACGAGGAGCCGAGCTAAGCAACTTAAGGAGAAGCTTGCTGCATTGATCCATAATGTCTTAACTAAGAAAGCTTCATTCAATGGTGATAAACAAGGGTGGATTATGCATATTCAAGTGGCGGAGTCACCCGACAAGTGTGGGAACCATCCGGGCTAAAGATCAGTCCAAGTTGAGCAAATAAGAGCAAGAATGATGAAGACCAAAGCTCACCCTACCTTAAATTCGTGGGTTCATCTCTAATCAGCTCATATTAGTGTGTTTATGGGCCTATTCTATTAAGGCCCTCTTTAATTTCGTGGCTCACTTGTTTAGAGCCTTTATTAAGTAGATTTCGGGTTTTATTTTCCTTTCTTGAAGACTATGTTTTGGGGGCTATATATATGCTTTCTTATTCATTGTGAAAGACAACTTTTGATCATTAATTAAATTGTGAGATTATTCTCTCTAGTTCTTTAGAACCCTTCGAACATATCGGAGGATTCCGTACGTTCACCTGACTTATCAATCAATCTTCCACAATTGATTGTGGCGTCTTCACATACCAAGGTTCTTGTCTCTTTATAGACAACGGGTCGCGGTTCCACCCCCTTTTGATTCCTTCTTTTGGACGGTCCAGCAGTTGATAACCGAAGTATTGTTATCGGGTCTCGTCACATGGTTGGCGTGGTTCATATCATTTGGTAATCAGAGCCATCTTCCAAGAAGGTTTCGTCTTTCCTTTGAGTCTTTTGTTGTTTTTGTTTCGTTTCTTTCCGTATTCCATATCTTTCTTCCTTCTAGTGTCATCTCTTCTTCTTTTGTTTTGTTTCCGTCATCACATCTGTTCTTGAGTCTATTGTCAAAAAAAAAAGAAAAGAAAAAAAAAAAAAAAAAAAAATCTGAAAAAAAAAAAATCTAGAAAAAAAAAAAAAAGGAAAAGAAGCAAAATTCGAAATAATTTGAAAGGAATAAATTCCTTGTTGGTATTATAAGTAGTTGGAAAGGATCCGAATACTGCATCTTAAGTTAGGAAAGGTATATTTTGTTTCCTATCCTCGGGATCCTTGAATATCTTGTCTTCTACTCCATATCTACTTCCTTCCTACACTCTTTTGTTTCCTATAATATTAATTTCGATATTCAAACAAAATAAATTACTCGTGACTATCCAAAGGTCATTAAATTCTGCTCATATTCTATTTCGATTCAAGTTCATCGTTCATCTTCTCTATCAATTCCTGATAATTCGTGGTGAACTGTTGCTGAAAATTCTGATATTTGTTTGGTGAGTTTGATTGGGACTATTGAGAATTTGAGAGGAAAAAGGCAAGAGTGGTGAGTTCATAAGAGGGTAAAAGCCAAAATTGATTGTGTGCAAACACGAGTGAACTTGAGCGATATCCATTTATTGAGTGAAACACGTAAGGGAGTGTGTGAGGTCCATATTTTCTTTCTAACATTGTTTTGCAGGAATCATGTCTAACAATCAAACAAATTTGGAAGACACACATAGGGAGGTTGATCCAAAGTTTATGATGGAGGCGTTGATGAGTGAGATGAAGAGATTCGTGAGGGAAGAGATGGAGCAGATTCATGAGCGGATGGATCAAATGGAGAATTCACGGCACGAGTTTCCCCAAACCATTCCTAACATGCAAAGGAGAGGACAAGCTCCACCTAGAGAGGCTAGGGCACAAGAGGATGAGTATTACAGTGATGACTTCGATGACCAACATTCCGTTGCTGTAAATCGAAGGTTTGGAGCGAGGGTTCGTGATGCTCGAAACCGCGAGGATAACAATTTGGGAAACATAAAGGTGAATATACCATCGTTTCTCGGCAGAAACGATCCTGAAGCTTACATTGAGTGGGAGCGAAAGATGGAGCTGTTGTTTGATTGTCACAATTACTCGGAACACAAGAAGGTGAAGTTGGCAGCGATTGAATTCTCCGATTATGCCATCATTTGGTGGGATCAATTGGTGCTGAATAAGAGGAGAAATAGGGAGAATCCAGTGGCAATCTGGGACGAGATGAAATCCCTAATGAGAAAGCGGTTCGTGCCAAGCTACTACTTCCGGGATTTGTATCAAAAGCTACAGAATTTGAAGCAAGGAAATCGGAGTGTTGAAGAGTACTTTAAGGAGATGGAAATTTCAATGATCCGAGTAAATATTGAGGAGGATCGGGAGGCTACTATGGCAAGGTTCTTGGCAGGGCTGAATAGAGAGATTGCTAACGTAGTGGAGTTGCAACATTATGTTGAGATGGAGGACATGGTACACATGGCCATCAAGATTGAGAATCAGCTCAAGCGGCGGGGTAACAATCCACGACCAGCCCCTAGTTCGAGTTCATCTTGGAGGCATAATGGTGTTAGCAAAGATGAGAAGCCAGCTATGATTAAACCCAATTTCGAGCCAAAGCAAAACACTACCAGCCATGCAGCCCAAGGTAAAATCGATTCTAATACAACTCGGAATCGTGATATAGAGTGTTTTAAATGCCATGGCAGGGGTCACAAAGCAAACCAATGTCCAAACAAGAGAGTTATGCTGCTGCGTGATGATGGTGGGTTTGAGACCGAAGAAGAGGAGGATTCCACACCACCACAAGAGGATGATGGAGAAGAAGAATATGCAGCACATGGTGAACTTTTGGTTGCAAGGAGAGCTCTAAACGTGCAAGCAAAGGGAGATGAAGAAGCACAGCGAGAAAACATCTTCTACACTAGATGTCATGTTCGAGACAAGGTGTGTAGTATGATCATTGATGGAGGGAGTTGCACCAATGTTGCTAGCACTACGATTGTGGAGAAGTTAGGGCTGCCTACAACCAAACATCCACAACCATATAAGCTGCAATGGCTTAATGATAGTGGAGAATTGAGGGTGAACAAGCAAGTGTTAGTATCATTTCGCATTGGGAGGTACGAAGATGAGGTACTGTGTGATGTTGTTCCGATGCAAGCTGGACACTTGTTACTTGGTCGACCGTGGCAATCTGATCGACGGGCCAAGCATGATGGTTTCACCAACAAGTACTCATTTGCGTTCAACCAAAGAACAATCACTCTAGTTCCTTTAACGCCACAGCAGGTCCATGAGGATCAAGTGAGGTTACAAAAAGAGAGTGATCAAAAGAAAATGAGTGAGAGTGCAAAAGAAAGAGAGAGTGAGGCTGAGAAAAACAAGAGAGAAAATAAAAAAGAGAGTTTGGCCAATGAGAGAAAAGAAGAGGGAAAAACAAGTTTATATGCGAGGGCGAGTGATGTGAAGAGAGCTATGCGTTCGAATCAGCCGATGATTGTACTTATGTACAAGGAGGCCTTTTTGAACACTAACAACGTTAACTCTTCTTTGCCTAGTTCTGTTGTTTCTCTTTTGCAGGAATTTGATGATGTATTCCCAGAGGAGCTACCACCGGGGTTGCCACCCATTCGAGGCATTGAACATCAAATTGACTTTGTGCCAGGAGCTTCTATTCCAAACCGACCAGCCTACCGAAGCAATCCCGAGGAGACTAAGGAGATACAAAGGCAGGTCACGGAGTTGATGGAAAGAGGGCACGTGAGGGAGAGCATGAGTCCGTGTGCTGTTCCGGTACTTTTGGTGCCTAAAGAGGATGGAAAGTGGAGAATGTGTGTCGATTGTCGAGCAATCAACAATATAACGGTAAAGTATCGTCATCCTATTCCACGCTTAGATGATATGTTAGAGGAATTGCATGGTGCTTGTGTGTTTTCAAAAATCGATTTGAAAAGTGGGTATCATCAAATAAGAATGAGAGAGGGTGATGAATGGAAAACTGCTTTCAAAACAAAGTATGGTTTATATGAGTGGTTAGTTATGCCGTTTGGGTTAACTAATGCCCCTAGTACTTTCATGCGATTAATGAACCATGTTTTGCGATCTTTCATTGGTAAATTTGTTGTAGTTTACTTTGATGACATTCTTATCTATAGCAAAAATCTGGATGATCATGTTGTGCATTTGAAATCCGTTTTACATGCGCTTAGGGAAGAGAAGTTGTATGCTAATTTGCAGAAATGTACATTTTGCACGGATAAGCTTGTCTTTCTTGGTTTTGTTGTGAGTGCACAAGGTATTCAGGTTGATGAAGAAAAGGTTCGAGCTATCCAAGAATGGCCAAGTCCGACGAGTGTAGCGAATGTTCGAAGTTTTCATGGCCTTGCTGGTTTCTATAGGAGGTTCGTGAAGGATTTTAGCACAATTGCAGCACCAATGACCGAGGTGATAAGGAAGAATTTGGTGTTCAAGTGGGGGGACGAGCAAGAGAAAGCATTTCAATTAATTAAGGAGAAGTTAACCAAAGCTCCTTTACTCGCTCTACCAAATTTCGCGAATACATTCGAGATCGAGTGCGATGCTTCCGGAGTAGGCATAGGCGCTGTTTTGATGCAAGAGGGACGGCCGATTGCATATTTTAGTGAGAAGTTGAGTGGGGCAGCCTTAAACTACCCGACTTATGATAAGGAGCTGTATGCCTTGGTTCGAGCTTTAGAGACGTGGCAGCATTATCTTTGGCCTAAGGAGTTTGTGATTCACACGGATCATGAATCGTTGAAGCACTTGAAGGGACAACACAAGCTGAACAAGAGGCATGCCCGATGGATGGAATTCATTGAGACATTTCCTTATGTCATCAAATACAAGCAAGGTAAAGAGAACATTGTAGCTGATGCACTGTCTCGAAGGTACACCTTAATCTCTACTCTTAATGTAGAATTACTTGGTTTTGAACAAATTAAGGAGTTGTACATGATCCTACATACATCCAACACGAAGAATTGGAAGACAAGGAAGAGGGAAATTCGTTGGACAAGTCGAATTTCATTCATCCCGGAAGTCCCGTATAATTCTGGCAGAGTACACTATTTGGCTCATTACTTTCTCATCTGAAGTCCAATTAAGGTGATTCGAATTGCTACGGAAAGCCAACTTCAAGATCTAAAACTTTGCTGTTTTGATGCGAGAGAGATTCGGAGTGGAAGAGGTCCGAAATCGAGCTTGAAGTGGAGACACGTGCACAGCCAAATGTCTACTCGAGTTATGAAGAATGTTCGTGTCGTCGACTTGATATTTGGAGTTTAGATTTTATTAAATTACGTTTTTATATTAGGTTTAATATATTTATATTATTTAAGAGTTAGTTATGGCTAGGATTTTCTTATTTATTAGTTTCCTTATTATAGATTAGGTAAGAGTCCTTTTCCTTGTGAAAAATGAGTCTTTTTAGATCTTATAAATATGTAGCCAATTTGGCTGATTTTATGGGACGAATTTTAATGATTAAATGGAGTTTATTCTCTTTGGTTCTTTAAGAACTGTTCGAACAATTCGGTGGATTCCGTTTGTTCACCCCGACTTATCAATCGATCTTTCGCAATCGATTGTGGCGTCTTCACATACCAAGGTTCTTGCCTCGTTATAGGCAATGGGTCGCGGTTCCACCTCTTTGATTCCTTCTTTGGACGGTCCGGGATTTGAAATCCGAAGTATTGATATCGGGTCTCGTCACATGGTTGGCGTGGTTCATATTATTAATGATATGATCCTACATACATCCAACACGAAGAATTGGAAGACAAGGAAGAGGGAAATTCGTTGGACAAGTCGAATTTCATTCATCCCGGAAGTCCCGTATAATTCTGGCAGAGTACACTATTTGGCTCATTACTTTCTCATCTGAAGTCCAATTAAGGTGATTCGAATTGCTACGGAAAGCCAACTTCAAGATCTAAAACTTTGCTGTTTTGATGCGAGAGAGATTCGGAGTGGAAGAGGTCCGAAATCGAGCTTGAAGTGGAGACACGTGCACAGCCAAATGTCTACTCGAGTTATGAAGAATGTTCGTGTCGTCGACTTGATATTTGGAGTTTAGATTTTATTAAATTACGTTTTTATATTAGGTTTAATATATTTATATTATTTAAGAGTTAGTTATGGCTAGGATTTTCTTATTTATTAGTTTCCTTATTATAGATTAGGTAAGAGTCCTTTTCCTTGTGAAAAAGGAGTCTTTTTAGATCTTATAAATATGTAGCCAATTTGGCTGATTTTATGGGACGAATTTTAATGATTAAATGGAGTTTATTCTCTTTGGTTCTTTAAGAACTGTTCGAACAATTCGGTGGATTCCGTTTGTTCACCCCGACTTATCAATCGATCTTTCGCAATCGATTGTGGCGTCTTCACATACCAAGGTTCTTGCCTCGTTATAGGCAATGGGTCGCGGTTCCACCTCTTTGATTCCTTCTTTGGACGGTCCGGGATTTGAAATCCGAAGTATTGATATCGGGTCTCGTCACATGGTTGGCGTGGTTCATATTATTTGGTATCAGAGCCATCTTCCTAAGAAGGTTTCGCCTATCCTTTATCTTTATTTTTTGAGTCGGTCTTTGTTTTCGTGTCTTTGTTTTGTTTTTCGTTTCGTGTCTATTGTTGTTGAGTCTTCTAGTCTTTCGTTTTGTTTATTTAGAGTCCGTAAACAAATTAAAACAAAAAAAAAAAACGAAAAAAAAATCGAAATTTAGTTTTTGTTTGAAGTTTCTTTGAGTCTAAGTTAGGTTTTGTCTAGAGTCCAGAAAAAAAAATCGAAAAAAAAAAGAAAAAAAAAACGGAAGAACGAGTGAGTTTTGTTATTCGTTAATCTCGTGAACTCTATTAAGTTTCTTTCTTGTGGCGTCAACATTATAACTTTGGTTCGTGGTTCTATATAGCCATTGGGTCAAGTTGGTTGTTCCATACTTTTGGTTTGCGTTTCTATATAAACGTTAGGTCGGAGTGCTAACAAGGAAAATTTAATCTTGTTTATTGGATGGGGAATTTCATTATTAATTGTTCGTAAAAAAAAAAAAAAAAAGTTCCAAATACAGTGAAGAACTTTCTGCCTCATGGATTCGCTTTCAATACTACACGCTCATTCAAAGGATTCGAATTCGAGGACGAATTCTTTTGAAGAAAGGGAGAATGATATGATCCTACATACATCCAACACGAAGAATTGGAAGACAAGGAAGAGGGAAATTCGTTGGACAAGTCGAATTTCATTCATCCCGGAAGTCCCGTATAATTCTGGCAGAGTACACTATTTGGCTCATTACTTTCTCATCTGAAGTCCAATTAAGGTGATTCGAATTGCTACGGAAAGCCAACTCAAGAT